GAGCATGATCCTTGGCACCTAAGACCTAAAACTTCAAGAATAAGGGATAGTATTCCCAAACCTTAACCCTGCAGAATCTACTTCGTATCGATGTAATAGACCATTGGTTATGCACATGTTCGTGCCCCTACCAATTTTGTTAAAGAGTATCATTCTAGTAGTCAATAAGTGAGATTAATTTTGCTCTACCGAACACCGTTGGAAGAGCAGAATTTTGACATGAATGACCGTGTTGGCCGAATCCACCTTAGTAACTTTGGTTTACTTTGTGAACATTTTCCATGTTCTTGGATTCAAGTTTGGTGTATGTTTTTACTTATAGATAATCTTATTGATATTTTCCTCGAATTTGAGTTAATTGAATCATGTTTCTTAATACATGTGACTGATTCAATTAAACATGTGATTAGGTAGGAATGTGGAAAGGTTAGTTGTTTGGACGAATCCGTACTACGCACACAAACTTTACACCTAAATCACATCTCTCACAACGACTTCAGGTCTATCCAACCTGATTAAGAGCATTGACACACTCCTCGTTGTATGAATGGTACTAAATTATCATTTAAGGGACCTTAAATTATCCCTGTTGTTGAGTTTTTAAGGATATTCGAGATGACAATGATCATAAATGAAACCACTGAATAAAATAGAGTGAAATATGTTTGCACCACCTCCAAGAATGAGCCTCAAGCTTTGATTTGGGGCTAATGGGTTGTTTCCAACTGGGAATATGCCACATGTGTCTGGCTTGGAGCTAGGTGATTGATCAATTTACTTGTTTTGGCACGACCATTTGGGACACTTAGGTCAAACAATGATGTTACAACGCATCTTCTTACCCGAAGTAAGGATCTTGTGCCTACAAGCACACTTTGCCAAAGCCTACTCATTAGGGAAATTGATTTTCTAAATCATCTCTCACAAAGATACGAAACGACTCTCTTTTCACAATGGATTCAAGGGAATATATGTGGACTAATCCAACCAAAATGCGGACCATATAAATACTTATGGTTTTGGTTGATGAATCGCCAAACTGGTCACATGTTTGTCCACACACATTGCTGCTAAACCTCCTGGCCGATTAAAGGTTCACCACCATACTTATCCCTTAAGGTCCAGAAGATTGGATAATGCCGGATAGTTTATATCAAAGGTTTTCGATAAAGTATTGCATGTATTTTGGGTTTATAATTGAACATTGAATTCCCATGTTCACCCCAAATAGCCTCGCCTAGTGATCATAAAGTGCAATTTAAATGATCGCCCAAATTTTGGTAAACGTACCAAGTTTTAGGTTTCTGCCTAAGGCTATGCAATCTTGTACGCAATTATGTCAATCCGCATTGAGGCCCATTGCCACCCAACCTATATGACGTTACAGTTGGTTACTGGGTACGAACTTGATGATTTTCGTATTACGCATTTGGGTGTGCATTCCATGTGCCAAGTTGTGCCGCCGCAACGTACCAATATAAGTCCTCAAAGAAGGATGTGAATATATGTCAATTATGATTCTCCTTCACACTAGCTCTCTTTGATCCCTTGTACACGATCTCTTTACCGCTCATTTGTGGGTTGTCACTTTAATGAAACAGTTTTCCCACCGTTAGGTGGAGATAAGAACGTCAATGTTCCTGTAGAAGGCGTAAAGTTGCATCGACGTTGCCCACTATGTCTCATCTCGATCCCCGTACCGCACAAGTGTGATAAACAAGTGTGATGAATTCTAGCTTTCAGAATGTTGCCCCAGATGCATTCCTCTGATCTAGCTAAAGTGACAAGATCATATACCAGCTGCAAACATGCCTGCAAGGATAGACGTACTTAACGGACGTCAAGTCAACATCCCTGGAGGGTGTACCGCCCTTGTTGGACGGTTTGGATGCCCCTGTTGGACAGTCCGGTTACCCGACGAATAGTCAATCAATCTGTCTTGGCTTGAAGCACGATAGATCACTTAGTTCGTAGGATTCACTTTCCTAGAAGAGGAAGACACGGCACAACAATGGATCCATTCTTGATCGTTGTCTCAAATCATTTCCATCTCATGAGATTAATCCGGATTACTCTCGATACTTGAAGTTCTTTGTCCAGTATACTAGTTTGGATGAGCTAAATGGAATTGAAATGAGATTATCATCGATAATGTTTTCACTTATATGGTATCCACCGACATAAATGAAAAGTGACGATATCAAACCGTGTTCCGTTGATTAAATGACAACGTATAACTAATTGGACAACCGAAATTACAATCTAGGTCAAATTCCTTACCAAAGTGTGTTTGGACCTGTCGTTCCTACACTGCCCAAGGTAACACTATTATGTTACAAGTGGGAAAGGAAGCGTTATGAGATGAATGAAATAATGCGATATGATGCACACCTTACGACACAAGGTTTCTCTCAAACGTCCTGTGATTAACAGCAACATTATGAAATGTGGTTAGTGTTTTCTCCATGGGGATATAGATACAGAGATTTACATGTAAGTTCTCGAAGAATTACATGGACTGTTTCAAATAGTTCCAAAACCACATAACACTCTCTTAACTCGTTTTGAGGTGTTCACTTATGGATTGAAAAAGCCGATGGATGTGGTATACCCATCTACGTGATTATTTGATCAGTCAAGGATATGAATTATGCCCTTGCGTGTTAAACTATGAAGTCTTATTCCGAATTGCTAGAGTTACAGTTTATGTCGTTGACAAGAATCTCACTAAGACTCCGGAAGAGCTTGAGAAACCTGTCTCGCACCTAAAGACGAAATTTGAGATGAAGGAACTTGGGAAAACTCGTTTATGCCTTGACCTGAAGTTTAAGCGTTGTTCTGACGGTATTTTGGTCTACCAGCCAAACTACACCCCGAATGTGTTGCTTTTGAGTATACCTTTGATCGTCCATATGTTATATGCAAATAAGACCCTTGAAGAGGTTATGGAATCTGAAATTTCATATCTAAAGTTCAACTTTGCGCTTCGTTGTACTTAGCTTATTGTATTTAGACAGGACATTTCTTTCGCTGTTGATCTTGGTAAAGATGCAGCACCGCACCTACGCGCATCAATTGAATTGATATTAAAGACTACTCTGAAGGTACTACGAATTTGGGCAAATCCCAACACATCTCAAGCGGATCCAACCCCCCTAATCCTCGAACTAATGCTTGCCTTATTTGTTATGCTGACGCTGGTTACTTATCAAACCCACACAAGGAAAAATCCCTGAATGGTTATGTCTTTATTGTTAGGGATATCGCAATATCTTGAAGGTCCACAATATGACCTTAGTTGCAAAATCTTTGAATCGTTCCAAGATTCACCTTACTTCACTATGTCACAAGTGAGACATGGTTAGGAGTTCTTGTTGAGCATATTTGAAGTACTTGCTGTTTTTCATCCATCGTTAAAGTCCCAACAACAATCCATGAAGATTATGTCATATGTATCAACCCAACCAAGCCATGATACAACAACGAAGTCAACGTCAAGACATATTGCGTCTACATCTACATCAGCAAAGCATCAGGAGATTGAAGTTATGCAAGCCGATCCCAGACAACCTTACTAACCTCTACACCACGTCACTGTCGAAGCCAACCTTCCAGAAGCTTGTCCGAGGAATTGGTATGCCTAACTATCATATGCAATGCTTGTAGTTCTCATTTGGAAGTTATGTCAAACTTAGGGAGAGTATCCAGAAGTATATTCACTTGATCTTAATGTTCTCTTTTTCCCTACAATTAGTAGCATTTTTCCCACTGGGGTTTTGCTATCTAACTAGGTTTTAACAAGGCACCTATCCTAGGCTGATCATACCCTTGTGAGCTCTTCTACTTGCCTCTAAAAGACGTATAGTATTGATTTAATGCAACTTCTCACCTTTCTCCTTAGTTATGGGTTTTTCTCCCACCTTGGGTTTTACCATAACGATGTTTTGTGAGTTTTACTTCTTGTGCATTCTTCCGTTGATTTGAGACTCGCATTCACTCATTGTGCCGACGACTTCATCAACTGTACTTACTTCATCGCTGAAGACCTAATGCGCCATTTACTTGAGTATTTACAGACTTAAGGAGGAGTGTTGAAGTCCTATTAAATTAGGAATGTGATTGTGTAAATCCTAGTAGATATGAGAATGTATCTTATATTTCTATTAGGAGCTGATTACCTATTAAATGTTGTAATTCTAAAGGGAAAGATTTTTACCTATCCTACTACTATAAATAAAGGTACAATAGGGTGGAATAGAACACACCCACAATTACCCATCTCTCTCTTTCTCTCTACTATTGCCGCACATTTCTCTCTCTCTATGGCCTCCATAATTGTTCAGTAAATTATACCTACAACAAAACATTATATCTAATGGTCCCTTACATTTCACCAATCCATCAGATTACCTTTCGTCAAATCAAATGGAGTAGTTCTTGAACGTTGCGGCTTCTTAGGAACGTAGCCTCCTAAATGTTGGACCGGTTTATACTATTTCACTGGCTTCGTTAAGGTCTTGACTTTCACCGGATTCTTCATATTGTTGATTGCAGCAGCAGAGATTGAAACTTCTCATCTTTTTGTTCGCTGTCCATAAAAAGTATCTTCTATTTGTTGTCAACTGTCGATCGATTTGGGTAGTAGATTAGAATACCAATGAAAAGCCTTGATTGATAAAGAATTGTCGAAAAGCCTAAGTTTGAAGAATTGGTTATCCTCAGTTGCGATGCACTGAGCTAAGAAGTGAAGGTAGGCTATTATACCACACGAATTAAAAACATGAAAAAGTGCTCAAGTTACTTTTATCATGTCGAGTCTTATAGTATGGGATTGTAACTAAATAGGGCATTAAAATACTTCATTGTGTGGCTGAGGTAGATTCGGTCTGTGAGGTTATTCTAGTCTATCCACCGTTGCCTCGTGTTATGATTGCTATAAGCATATGCCTTAAGTCCTCCGGTTAGAAGGACACCCCACCCATTACAAATTAGAAGGGAACTTCAGAAATTTTAAATCATAATTAATAAAATAAAAACATCAATTAAAGTATCTTATTGTCCATAATACAAAACGAGAACTGGAAATTGAAATACATAATTCATAAAATAATTCTCCTTTTCTGAATCAGATTCTTCAACATGAGCAAACTTGAAGATAATAACTTAGTTCCTAGTTTATTGGAAGGACAAAGTACTCACATGGCCTCAAATGTCGAGAAGACACTTAAACTACATGCAAGCTGACAGTTTTATTTTTTATTTTTGGAACGAAACTCAACTAATACTTTTATATTGAATGGAACATATTAGCAATGGAACTTTCTTCCGTGGACAGAAACATTCGGAGAATCTAATTTTTCAAGTAGATATCGTCTAGAATGGGAGACTATATCATAGTCCTGAATTTCATTGCCCTGAGAAATAAATAGGCTAGTAACCTGTACCCAATGATCATCACAATCATAGCTCCAACTTCCATCACACCTGAATCCAGTCTTAATTCTTTGATTAATTGAGACTCACATGTTTCATTTCCAGAGGTACCTGAACCTGATGGGCAACCATACTGAATTTTCAGGAGTAGCCTGTAAGTGTGGTAGTTGAACGAGATATAGCGTATCCACGAAACATTTGATGGAACTTTCTGCAACCACATATAGTTTATAATGTACTTGTCACGCTATATTTAACAAATCCACAGTGAGCTTATTGGTTTAGGTTATATATTTATCTGACCTTGATAAAGAATCCACCAGATAACATAAAGGTCATAACGACGATGGAAGCTAGCGTTGATGCCTTTTTCACATCGACAAATGCTGCACCTATGGTCAATCCAAGACCCTGTAATTTTGATGTTTACAGTGTCATACAATATTGTTTTCATTTTGCTTCAAGGAGAAGAACAATTATTTACCAGAAAATATCCATAATTTTTACCTGAGAGGCGACGATGCTGAGGAAAATTGTTAGCATTGTTTGGATAAATGCAGTAAAGGTCAGCTTCAAGCCTGTCATTAAGTAAACAATGACGAGGAAGGCTAACGGCAGCAGGAGATCCAGAGGAACATCACTAGTGTTTCTAGCTAAAAAGTATGCACTGAGTTTGTACATCTCCACTGATCTCTCTTTAGCAAGTATTGCTCTTTCTTGCGGAAATGTGAAAACTGCAGTGAATAAAGGGAAGAAGGTCCAAAATACTGAAATGAAGAATAACAATCCTGCCTGATCTTGAAGCTGTCTTCGGGAAGAAGTATCAGACTGCCACCATAGGAGTCCTATTATTATAGCAGTTGAGACAACTTGAAATACACGCAAACAACTTAAGTATTCGTGGCGTCTCTCCCTAAGGCCCCTCCTAAAAAGAATTGAAAACTGTTCGCACCAAGTTGCATTTGATTCCCTCAAGTATCTCATCCCCTTGCCTTGCAACATATTCTCCCCCTCTGTCTGCACAGAACTTAGGAGCTTTGTTTTTTTCATTTCTGCAAGTCTGACTTGATTGGCCTCTACCAGAAACTGCAAAATTATGTAAAATGAGATTCTGCGCTGTGATAGCTATTAGAAATTTATAATTGGGTTTTGAAAGTTCAGTTTTTATTAGCAACCTCGTGGACATCAACCGCGGAAGGCCTTTCATCCTCCAGTTCTGTTGGAAGTGATTTGTCATTTGTGTTACCATTTGCAAGATCAACGAGAAACTCTGCGGGGTTCATAGCTATAAGCGGTGCACAACCGATTGAGGAGAAGTATGTCATCGATTCAGAGGCTTTTCCAAAGTACAAGGAGCTTCCTCTACCCAAGAGGATGAGTTTATCAAACTTGTTAAATATTCTACTAGACGGTTGATGTATTGTAGTCACCACTGTCTTGCCAGCCTACATTTATATAAACACAATCTAACTTGATTTTTTTCTTTTTGATATGATATTCATATGATAAAGTAAGATTGTTCATATTACAAAGTATTCAATCAATAATTCCAGTACCTTTGCAATAATGTGGAGCATCTGAAGTATTCGAAGTGCTGCGGTTGAATCAAGACCGGAAGTTGGTTCGTCTAAGAACAGAAGTGATGGATTGAGCAGGATTTCATTTCCAATGCACACTCTTTTCCTCTCACCACCAGAAACTCCTTTAACAAATGGGCCACCAATAAGTGTATCCTGGCACCTGAAAAATTAGTGAATCTTGCTATATGAGTAACAAATAGCTTCATAGTGACTGAGTTAGCTTGGAAGTTAACTAAGAAGATGATTTCAACAGTGTTGACGAATACAAGAATCTTACACCGGATCACTGACATGATCAAATATGACGTAAATTGAGGGGTTTTTAATTATACCGATGTCTTTTGTGATAAAACTCATACACTTGCCGTGCTGTGTAGGTAGTAAAATGCAAGGTGGGAGGCAGTATCGGCGAGTTAATCTTGACAAATAGATGGATACTTAATGTTAGATGGAATTATATATATATATATATATACCTTTCGAGGCCTAGCTCATTAATCACATTCATGGCCCTTTCTTTTTTCTGATTTCTGGTTAAGGTAAGTGGAAGACGGAGTAGAGCAGCATAAGTTAGAGTTTCTTTGACTGTAAGATGGGAGAACAGAAGATCATCTTGCATTACAAATCCAATCCTGTTCCATGAAAACCAATATCAGAAAAACAAAATTCCCATATTTAATATGTTAAAATAAATATGCAAACTTTTAGAGTATATCAATTATCAACTCCATCAACTCTTAATATCAATTATGTTTTTTCAAACCCCAACTCACGCGACAACATTTCATTTGTTTACATATATGTAATGAAAATTTTGGGTAATGGTCAGTGTATTACATAGTAAGCAACTGTCGTGTTATGTATCATGTTATATACCTCTGTTTGAGAAACTTGGTGTATGGTTGGTCATTGTAAGTGATGGTACCAGTTTTGAGTTTTACTCTTCCACTGAGGAGATTCAGCAAAGTGGTTTTGCCTCCTCCAGAAGGTCCCATTAGAGCAAGAACCTCTCCTGGAAGCACTGAGCCAGTGATTCCATGCAGTATGTACTCTGCATTTGAGCTTTTCATACCCTTTGCAGCAGCAACCTTATGCTTGACATCTTGGAACTACAACACAATTAATAATTTACACACACACACACACATTCTGAGACAATTAAATAAGTTAAATTTCCTTTGCTTGATATATATATTTAAGCATCTAGGGTTAATAATGTGTTACCTTGAGATAAATTGGTAAGCTGGGTTCCACATGGAGTTTTCTCCCTTTGTCTGCATCTGGACCTCCTTCTTCAGTTGACATAGACTTAGCTGTTGGAATATTTTCTTTTAGTATAAAGATCATAACAATTAGTCATTGAAAGTAATACAAAAATTAACTTGATTTGAATGTAAACTGTAATAGTAAATATATGATGGATGAAATCGGGACGGAAAAACAAGAAGAGAATATGTTTCGGGATAAATCCTTACCATTACAACCTTCTCATGTGATGAAATAATTCGGGCAAACATGAGACTTTTGCACAAATGAGGGGTTGTGGTTTTAATGGTTAACTATTGTAGTATTTTTTTCAGAAATGGGAAACTTGAGACATTATACAAAGAGAAGCATGACTGCACAAGAGCTAGTTGGTTTCTAATGGTAATTAAGCATGTAGTTTTAGAGAAATTTTTATATATACCCGAAACAAATGTAATATTTCATAAATAAGTTAGTTATGCTTTGTTTCAAGACAAGTCTATTAAATATAACTTGAGATTGGCATCAGTTTCGTACTGCGTTTTGGACTCTGCACTCTCAAGGCAATATTGTCTGAGATGTCTCCTTCAGCAAGAGAGAAAGAATTGCCCAAGCCAGTGCTAGAAGTCCTGCTTAATATGGAACCTCTCTTGTCAAAGCTTTCAGTAACAGTATTGCTAATAACTTCATCCATATTGATTAGTAGGTGGGAGCCAAATGACTCTGTTTTGTGAATCATTTTCCCACTTGGTGGTTCCATTTTCTTCTCAAAACTTCGTCTTCCAAGTTTGCGCAATATTCCATCTTCATTATTTTTCTTTTCTTCATGCTGAGTTATACAAGTTGAAGTTGTCATACAGCAGCCAACGTTTTCTTGGATTACACTCATGTCGTTGTTTCCGGTACTTTTGGGTGTTTTTGTAGCTTCATTCAAACCCTCCTCAACAAAAGGAGAGTCACAGTCGAACTCACGATGATCTCTACCAACCTCCATGGGTAGCGCAACTGCATGAAAAAATATAAAACGTTGTACAATTAGTCTCAAACACAGAACGGGACTTGGCTGCTGAAAAATCAGCAGCAGCAAAGTCTGCTGATGACCAATCACAGCTGAACACGTGTTCAAGTTAGTGATTAAACACGTGTCCAGTTGTGATTGGTCATCAGCAGGGGTTGTTGCTAATTTTTTCAGCAGCGAAGTTCTTTCCTCAAATATATTAGCAAACCAATAAATCTTAAAAAAAAATTAAAAAAATATTCTAGTAATAATTAAAATCATAATTATCGGTGGTACTCTTTGTCCATGTAGTTTACTGATTACTCCATTTTTTTCACTTTCTTCTTTCTCACAAATTCGAATTCTTTGAATGATAAACTAACATCAAAACAATTAGTAACAAGAAATTGAGTGAACTAGAGAAAGTTGGGAAGAAGAAGGTTAATTACTTGAGAGCTGGAGAACTTACAAATCGAGTACGCACTTAAAAAAGAGAAATGTGGAAAGCTCAAGGGATGGGAATATGGATTTGGAAAGGTTGGTTTGGAAGATCTTTATAGGCCAATTCTGATAGTGCGTGACAGTGTCACATCATTTTCAGTCTATAGGTTTTCAATTAATGAGCCCTTATGTCACATGTGGAAGTGACTTAGTGAAAATTTTAATTTCATTTTAAGGTAGTAATTGTCTTACGCAGTTTTTCTTTCTGCAATTTTTTATTTTGTTTTCATTCTCCTGTATTTTATTTAATTATAAGTTTGAAATGTGCAGAAAGAGAAAAAAATGATTGCAAAAATCATTTCATTTGTTGGATTCTATTGTCTTTTTTTTTTTTTTGTGTGTGTGTTTCAAGTCAAACGGAAAGCGGGAGATTAAAACCCTAGTTATAGGCATATAAGAGTAAATATTCGCCACCACTAAAAGTACAACGCCCCTGTAATATTATTACTCCTTAATAAAAGTAAATGATAAACGCACATATTTTTTTAACTTTTCACGTACTTTTGTTTAATTTTGACTGTTATTTCTATTTAATTTATTCAATTCGATGACTGAAAATAAAAATTATGTGTGAAAAGCTAAAAGTACGTGTCACAGCCCGTTCCGGAAATGTACATTATTTTATTATCATTGATGTGAAAAGACTAAAATGCCCTTGAGCGTTTGTGACATTGTGGGGCATGTGTGGTTAAGGGCCAATGTGTTAAGTCCCTATTATTTTGGACCCAATTGGAAGTAAGAAAATTATTAGTTGTGATTGGTGACTTTTGGATCACACACACACCCATAACTCTCTCTCGCTCTCTTCCCTCCCGTGTTCTCTCTCTATCACTCAGACTCTCTCTCTCTTCTCTCTCGTACGGACTCAAACCCAAAGTCCTTTGAATTGTGATAGATCGAGGATTCTAAGACCACCATTGTGTTTGTGAGGACCATACGAGTCTTAGGGTACACATTTCAGGTGAGAACTCCATCGTTTTCACGTCGAAACCATAACCCTGATTTGAGGTACTATTCATGCTCACGTAAAATGTTGATTTTTAGGGAAATCTAAGCTCATAGGAAGCTTAATGAGGTCCTCACGAGTCTCGAGGTAGTTCGTTTAAGGAATTTGGACGTCGGGATCGCAAGAAACGTCGAGTTGCAGTTTTGGTCGGAATTTCGAAGCTTCCCTGACATGATTTCGTGAGATTTGAAGCTTCAAATAGGTATAACGCCATTCTTCTCACTCTAAGCTTTCATATGGTTCAAATTTCATGAAAAATCGTTCAAAAATGAGTGAGAACAAAGGTTTTAAAGTTTTACTCAGTTTTCCGGCGACCGGCGAATCGCCGGGGACGAAGACGGAATATTCCTAACGTTGTTTCTGTTCCGTTACACGTGCCAGGCACGTGGCCGCGCGTTTTGCAATGCCCTTGCCGGCGCGTGAGGGGTCGGAAAAATAATCTTAAAATATGGGGATGTTCGTGGAGTTGTGTAGGTCACTGTGGTATATTCATATACCCATTTTGAGCATTGTATGAGAAGTTATTAGCTAGTTTTTCCTATGTGCTTTAAAATAAGGTTTTTATAGTTAATTCGCATATAGGTGAGGCTTATCCCGAGACGAGCGTATCCACGTGCGACTCGGCGGCTACGACCCTTCAACATACCAGTGAATGGGCATTTGGTTTTCAGTATATATTTATATACTTGATATTTTCCCAGAAAATGTGTTTAAATGATAATATGCCATGCATATGCAATTATATTTCATACATGAATTGGTATGTGATGCTTTATATATTCAAATGTGGTGCTGTGGACGCTCAGGTAAGCTCAGGTAAGTTGTGTTTGGTTATGTGAATCATCGATGATGTGATATGTGATTGATTAATGCTGAGCTCATAAAACTGCACCTAGGGTGATTGTGATTTAGCCAGAAATATGATACATGTTTGTTTATTATGTCACCCTTGCACTATATGCTCACATTGGATCCAATTTAAGTACACAATCTTGTCGTACAGACCTATTTATGGTTCCGACTCGTAGATGACTAGCGATTTATCACCCGGCTATTATGTGAGAGTTGTATTGAGCATGATTATATTACACCAATTATTGTCGTACAGACCTTTTCATTTGATTCCGACTCTTGTGCAATATATTGCCGTATAGGTCATTATAGTGACTCTAGCTAGATTGACTTTTGAGCTATGATTTCAGCCATACAAACTACCACAGGGGTTCTGGCTAACATATCACATTTCTATAAAATCATTCTTACCTGGATTGTTTACTTTGTTATATCTTGGCATGGCATACATATGTTTATGATTATGTGAAGTATGATTGAATTGATATGATTTCATATATATATTTATGTATATGCTTATATTCTGATTCTGGGAAAAATTATACATGTACAGCGAGGGGTTAGATATGTTGATAAACGAAATGGTTTTGTAAAACATTTGTTTTTGCCCACTCACATTTTCTGTTGTGTGCCCCTCCAGGTTTTAGTAAGCTTGTTGTTGGTGGCACAAGGACGTCGGCAGTTCTTACCTATCTAAATAATAGTAGGACATTCCTGGTACTGTGTAACTAGTACTTGTCCTACTGGACTGCACCTAGACTTTTATGCTTTGATTATGAGTGTTTACTGTTGTAACTAACTCCTATCAATTCCTGTTTAGTAGTGCACTTTAGTATTTGGTTTTTAATTATTCATATAATTCCTATTTTTATTGCTTCCGCACTGTGCACGTGGCTATGTCACTCTCACGTGACGGCCAGCATACCTCGATCTCGGTTGGGGTGTGTCAGTACGTGTAAAAATCATTTCCCTCAAAAAGTGGGAGACAATCTATTTGTTTTCTAGTGACATGAAAAACTTTAGGAATGCATGAAATCCAATTGTCCCCGCATCAAAGAAATAATGTTTTAGCATAGAGTGAAAAAAGCTTCAACGTTTTAATCTTTATCTCTACTAATAGAATGCCAAAAGTGAGTTTTGGTGTCTTAAAGCTTCACAAAAAAAAAAAAAAACTGGACACAAAAGCCCTTGAAACAAAAAAAAGTAAAACTGAAGTAAATTATGAATCTAAATGTTCCGTGGGCATTTGTGTAAATAAAATTAAAAAAAAAGAAATTCAAACGTGGGAAAAGGCTGGAGAAAACTGCACCACATTCCATACAAAACAGTTTCCCTCAAACTATGTAACTTCCGTAAATCCCATTTCAGACCTCACGCTTTCTTGGCAGTTAGAACTTAGAACCCTATATATATTTACCCAATTGGTAAAATTTAATTCGCAATACATTGCAGTGGAAGCTTTTTTACTAACTATTTTTTATGTTATTTTGGCATGCTTTTTCAGCACTGGATTTACTTGAGTTTAGATTGTAGAAAGCGAGGATAAGAGAATAATTAGAGTTTGCAAAGGTGTTGGATGCGTGTGAAGAAGAAAGAGGGAAGAAATCCATGATTCCCATATCCGAAAGGTACTACAATTTTCCGTTTTGCAATGTTGCGAAAAGTTATTAACTTTCTATAAGCCAATGTCAAATAGTTAATAAGTTGTGTTTTATTGTAATGCTTCAGGTTCATGGGGATGAAAGCTGCTATTTACAAACAATTCAAGTTTGAAATCTTTTGGTACCAAACTTGATTTCAGCATGATCCAAATTGACGGTTTTTTTTTTTAAACAGTCCAGCCAGCACTGAATAGCCAGTTGATTTCGGAGCATCTGAGTTTTTGGTTTATCTTAGCTGAAGGAAGATGTAGGTTGTTGTTTTGTTAATGACGGTGGATGATTTGGATGAAAGTATGTATCTTGAGAATTTTTTTGCTTTCATTTGTGTAGGCCCGAATTGAAGTTTTGTGGAATGAGATTCTTATCATATTCTTATACCAAATTGTTTCTCCGTTCATTGCAGGTAATATAAGATTCAACGATTTTTCTCTGTTTATATGCCTTCATCAATTTTCTTGGACCAATAAATTACATATTTATAACTAACTTTGATAGGTGGTTCAACAAGTAGCTGATTTCCTTTTGCCCAAGCTTGAGTACTCTCAAGATTATTGCTCAAGTTAGAACAGGGCAAGTTGAAGACTATTTCTAAAGTATGACGTGATCCCCTCTTCCCTTCTCTATTAATTTTTATTTTACTAGATAAAAATATCAATCCTTGCACGTACATTATTTCACTAGAACAAATGTTTACCTGTACCAAAGGATGCAAGGCCAGCAGTATTGGGGGATCTGGAGTGAAGAGCAAGTCTTAAATACTTCACTGCATTCTTAAAATTGTCATTAAAAATTGCCTTGCGCAAATGCATGAAATCCTCACTATTTGTAGAGTATGGCAATGGTATGGGCAGGAACAGTGACTTCAAAGCCCTCTGGTATGGGAACAATGTGTTATAGTAGAAATATTGCTTTCAGATTCAATCAGCTATTATAAGAACATGAACTGAATTAGTTGGTGATTTCGAAGTAATATGATATCATTTCCAACTTTATTGTTGTACTCCATGAGAACTAAGTCTCTTTCTACATGGTGACTTTGAAAATAATTTGAGTTCATTTTTGTATTCATATTTGACACCCTTTTAATGATTGGAGTAATGAACTTATTTCAAGGGATTAATGAGGTCAAGTTAGTCTTGAATGGACTAGAAATGTTAGATAGATGCCCTACATAATTGTTACAAAGGGCATAGGAGTTATGAATGACTGATACCTTCATTCACAAACCTTTATAATGCCTACGAAGTGCAGTTATTTTCTTCTTTAATAGTTTGTAGTTCATTCCTTACTAATTTGACCTTAATTCTTTGGAACTTTGATGTCCCTCTCATCCAAACATATGATCTTTTGGGCGGTCTTTTGCATGCGCAAGAGCAAAACAATTAACATGAATAAATATATTTACTTCGTTACGTATTATGTCTTTATGCGTTAGTGAATGTAAAAAGAAAAAAATGACTCTAGACGCTGCGCTTAGCACGCTGTGA